TCTGGGTCCGTTTTCAATGCTTCTAATGGGATTCCATCTGGTCTAGCTGCTTTTCCAGTTTTCAGCGTCTTGATTGCCTTCAGGACTTCTGTTCTCCTCGGGGGGTTGATGTTCACTGGTAATTCTGCTTCCGTTGTTGGTATTGTTGGGCGCGTTGTAGGTGGCGGTCGGTTTAGTAGTCTTTTGAAGTGTTCAGCCTAGTGTTTCCTTTGCTCCACTTCTTTGGTGATTGACTTTCCATTCTCATCCTTCACTGGCCTAATTTGTGACGAATTTTTGCCTGAGAGGTACCTAGTTGTTTGGTAGAGTGTTGCAAGGTCTCCTTTGCCTGCTGCTTGTTCTTCTTCATTGGCCATGGCTTCATAATACTTTCTTTTGTCTTCTCTGGCACTCTTCTTTACTCCTTTGTTCAGTGTATTGTAGCTTGCATTCAACTCCTGTTTCTGTTGCTCGTCGGTGCACTGGATAATCTTTTGTTTCACCATCCTTCTCTCTTCTATTAGCCTCCAAGTGTCCGTAGTGAGCCACGGTTTGTCGTGTCTCTTCTTTCTGCCCAGAACTTCCATGCAGGTTTCGCTCCATACCGCTTTCAGGTTGTCCCAGTGTTTTTCGACGCTGACCTCTTCGCCAATGTTGATTTGTGTCTCAGCTTTGTCCTTTATGCTTGCAGTGAAGATGTCCTTTGTATCCTGGTCCTTTAGTTTTTGAGTGTTGAACTTGGCTTGTGGTCTATCTGCAGCTCCTGTTTCTCTGAAAGCTTTTAATTTGAGTTGGATTGTTGCTTGTACGAGGTAGTGGTCTGAGCCAACGTCTGCTCCTCTTCTTGCTTTTGTGTCCAGCAGGCTGCGCCGCCACTTCCTTGAGATTGAGATGAAGTCAATTTGGTTCATGTCTCCCATTAGTATTTTAATGTCACCAGCTGGAGTATTGTCTATTTCTGCCTGTAGTTGTCTGTAGAATTCTTCTTTCTTTTCGAGGTCTGCGTTGTTTGTCGGTGCATAGCACTGTATAATTGACACTTTCCTTCCTTTGGAGTTGAATCTGGCGGTCATTATTCTGGGTGAGATCGCCTCCCATTGTATCAGAGCCTTGGTTGCCGTTGGTGACATCATGATAGCCACGCCCTCGGTATGTGTGTGGTTGTCTTCTGAGTGACCGGAGTAAATCATTGACTCACCTGTTGACAATTTGGTGAGTCCGTTTCCGTTCCATCTGCTTTCGCAGATCCCCAATACTTGTATTTCGTATCTTCTCATTTCGCTTGCGATCTGGGCAGCTTTGCCAGTCTCTGGTGCGGACATTCCATGTCCCCGCACAGACTTTTTCTTTTGACGCAAGGAGATTGTTCACGCTGAAGTTTTTGTAGCATCTTTGTCTACAGGGTGGGGTTGCTGGCCCCACGCCTAAAAGAAAACGTTAGAATACTCAAATTTTACATTTATTTTCAGCAAATATGCTTGCAAACAACGCATACCTCAACCACACAAGCCTGCACACGATATCACCTACCTAGGACAAATTAAATATGAAATTGGCCGCCGTTGTTCCAGCCAATGAAACACGAGAAAACCTGGGGCGCGGAAAATTTAACACGTTATAACGTATATCATCACCCTTGGAAGGTAAGCAGAAAGGTGATACACAGTTTGCTGGAGTAAGACACACAGGATGTAGATCTTACAATAATTGTGAGTTAATCAGCCATGAAAGGATTAGGAACTTATATAACTTCACAGTAGTCGGTAAGTACGGCATTATTTTGGTGTTAGCAAATGCAAGGCAGCAACTTTGTAATGACAAACAGATTTAATGATGGTGATTGTTCCGTTGTTCGTCATATTTGCTAACAATATTCTGAATACCTACCAAATACAGGTCATAGTAACTACAAAGCTCCTTCCAAGTAGTAGTGTAACAACAGAAGACAAGGGCCAGGCAACAGAACGTTTATTACGGAAAATCAACACGTATTTATAGATTTTGATGTACATTATTGTAGGTTAATGTTAGTAGAAAATACAGTCTGTTGATTTGTTGTTTCTCACACAAAGTTAACCTTGCATCTCTTGTGGCTGTGTCAGTTCATCTATATGTTAACTGTATCCGCCTGTCCACCTTGACCTTTGACCTCAATTACTGTCAACCAATTTGGCTAGCAACCATCTCTCACCACAGTAGCATTTATTTCTCAAATCTGTTTTTATTTTTTATTTTTATTTTATTATAGCTTGATTCCACACCGTATTTTTGGTGTGATATCGGTAGCCCGATTTTGCAGGCCGACCATAGATATCGGGTGTGCGCCGGCAGGGGATCGAACCCCGGACCATGTGCATGGTCTGTATCTAGCTTTCGTCGTGGTGAGGAAATAATCTCAAGCTTCAGTCTTCAGAAAATCAACTACCAATCTGAATGGTTTATTGTGTGCTGACTCCGCCTACCATAAATGTAGCTAAAATGTGTCGAAGTTGTGTGGTTTTTCCTCGATAAAATAGTCCATTACCAAGTATCTTGTCTTCTCGCCTCACACCAGTGCCACTCATTCTAAATTTTACGGCTTTACATTGACACTGTTTTGCGTTGAGAACCAAGTATTGTTTCCACTCTATCCTCTCTCGATTACAATCATTTGTAAAATTTTCGTCGTTTTTTGCAACTATTTAGCAAAGTTCTCTAACTCCTATATTCTTTTCCATGTGAGAAAGGCTTCTAAAAAAAGTTTAATGAAGGGCAGGAGCACATAGGAGAATATGTAACGAATCCTTGCGTGCTGATCAGATTAGCACGAGCAGACAACTAGGGGTACACACTGACACTTCGGAAAACTTGTACGACTGGTAACACCAGCAGGTACCAGAGGTGATAATAGAATATACGTATGCTAAACTAATTCCGCGAAAATATGATTAACTGCGTCGATTCCGGTCTCGTGTTCTAAAGAAGAACTTTACCTGTAAATGACATATTGATCCTGTCACCGAAGACACCGATTTCAGCAGTTTGAAGTGGCACCACCTTTATTCAGTGGATATTACGGCGTTTCAGTAAATAGGCCGACAAATACCAGCATGATATCGGGAAATTCAATAGTTAGAGTTTTACTTTCGAAATTAATGCCTTCTTTAATCCATTATATTGCACAGAAATCGTTGTCAAGCAATATTTTCTGATAAGACTGCAGCAAGTGCAACGCAGTAAAATGATGTAATGCCGCCAATAACACGCAGGCCAGAAAAAATTCTCAGTGAAAAATTTTATTTAGCAAACACAAAAAGTATAGCTTGTTGTTATGTCGCCACACCAGTGAACTACGATACTACATTTAGTTGGCATTTAGAATTAAGCCACTTCACTAAAGTATTTCGTTACATTAGTAACTACATCTTATTCTTGAATTTGATATTGTTCCTGATGTAATAATTCCAACTCATCTATGCATTTGTTCAGTTTTCTCAGAGATTTATCAGAAAGGGAGTATATCCTTTTTTATGACAGAGATTGTATATGGTGAGCATAACTACTGAATTAAGTTTACAACCACCTCAACACATAATGACTCTTAAGATAACAGCTTATATTAAGTTCAAGTGCGTCCTGTAGGAACCCCTTATCTGGTAGAAAGTTATCTGCCCTTAACTAGGCTATCACCATAACTTCTTAGATATATGGAGAATCAAGTGTACCCAGGTAACAGATAAACATTACTCAGAACTCAGTGACAGCTTGTTGTTTTAAGCTGGTACACAAGTACTAACAGAGACTCTCTGGGGAACAAATATCTGTGTATGCCCATTTAAGACAAATCAAATCACGAGAATGTTTACATTTAAAGACCAGATACAGTGAACGGAAAAAACAATTTCCTTTAAGAATCTAGCAAACAGTAGAGGACAAGTCATAGTTATGAATTTCACCTTCCTGCCTCGGAAAAATCAGGGTCCGAAACATACATGACAGCTAAACAAATATCTAGCATCAGATAATCAAGGTGTTTTCAATTCTGTTTCAGTAAGTATGTTCGCGATGCTTTTCTTCACTTCCATTGCACTGGTTGAAACTCACAGCTGTTGCTAGCCAGATATGGCAATAAGCTTCTTCCGAAAGTTAAAGTGAACTTCATTCTGTCTTGATTATGGTTTTCGGATACATGTTTGCGATCAATATTTAAGGTTTTTGTATGTTGCAGATCAAGTACATGTTGCCCGAGCACATCTAGTCCATACACCTGTCGAGTAAAGAGTATCAGCTGCTACAAAATATTTTCTGGATCAGAATGAAACTATTTTAACGTACCGTAATTTATTCTGGATATGGTTTTCTATTTGACATACCTGCAGTTTAAGTATTTTACCCACCACAGTCGTGTGTGGAATAGGTCATAGTCCAATCCATGGATTGCCCAACTAATATGGGTATTTTGATACGAACAGTAAAATTTTTCAATCACAAGTGAGTTGAGCTATTCCAATGACATGTCATTTAAACGCCTAAGCCCAAGAAGTCACTGAATCCTCCTAATGAAAAATTCGATAAACCATGAGTGGATGGGTTTTCAACCAGCTATTAGCAGATGAAGATAAAGGCAACTGAGGATAACACTTCAAACCAAGGAAGCGCCTAGAATTTACTGGAACAAGAACCGTAAGTTGAACTAAGTATACTTTATTCAGTGCTGCGAACGCTTCAAAGATCTCACTAGGACTCTAAGAACACACCCGTCAGAACAACTGGAATCACCATCTATTTGGCTAATATTCACTGGAAATAAGTCTCCCAAAAGAGTGTGTCGAAAAGAAGGTCGTGTTGGACCCGTGCTAATGATTACTCTCCTCATCATTACGCAACTAATTCTGACGTCTAGTCAGAGTCACATTGACCAAAATTACTAGGATTAAATCAACTGGAAAATAACTACAATTACTGTACTGTTCCTATTCTCGCTCTAAAATCTTAAGGACATTCGGGACACGAAATTTTAACGTTTTGTTATAATGCATGGAATCTTATTAATGATGACCTTCAATCTTTTAGAATTTCACTGGCAAATTATGGAAAAGTTGAGGCATTATGCTTAGCCTGAGGGATTTTCTTGCAGTAGAGAGTCCCTTGTTGCTATTCTCGTATAGTCTTATGAAGACACTGATAAATGGCATAAAATTAAGGATATGGCATGCGTCCCTCTATTCAATAGGCAGCAGTCCTATAATTTCGAGGTCACTGTGAAGCTGCACAGTTTGACCGCTGTTCCCTACGTAAACTCTGTTACTTTTGCAAAACTGCGGCTTCTAAGTAGTCGGAATTCTGCACAGTACTCTCCAAGGTAGGCATTTCTTTATATACTGAACGACTCAGAACTGAAATTCGGAACAATATTGTAACGTGGAATAGCGAGCACCGATTCCACTGCAAATTCAAAAGTGATGCTGAAACAACTATTTTAGAACCAAACATTTTGAAGGTGTCCATTCGTATGGTAAGTTTATTTGCGTAGGTCGAGTGTGAAAAGATTTTTGCACAAAATATTTTTTTATTGTTTATTGTGTATAGTGACTATGTTAGCTAGAAACAAGCTGGGTATTTGCATTAAACTGTAGGGACATTTAGCTGCACTATGTTGTCCTGAAAAGTTGTGGATTTATGACCTCTATAATCTCAAATGTGTCTAATTGTTTAAGATATAAGTTGTACGACAAGGCGGGTGGAAGGATTATAAGGCACAAGATGGCTTCTTAAAGCACTAAATTTTGACTGCAATATGCAGTCACTCCTTATCTTAATAAACAACCCGATAGCTAATCAACTCGTGAGAAATATTGTCTACATATATCATCAATACGTGCAGAATTTAGATTCTCTCAGAGTGGTCAACGACTGGAACTCCTTACCTGATTCACTAGTAACAGCTCCATCGGTGAACGCTTTCAAAGAGAAACTGGATCTCTGCAGAGATATATTTTGCAAGGATTAACACAGGCCACAAGAGCCTTCTATCCTTATCAACTGAATCTGAATATACACGGTTCCTCATCCTAAACACTAGTGAATATTTTCTCTCCTTATTCTCAGATTAGCATGTTGTGTGTTAGCAAAAGTGAAATACAAAATACGCTGCCTCAATATTTGTATAGTCCTTCTTATCCGTTAACTTTTGTGAATTCACCACTTAAAGCCTTAGCATCTATTACCATCAAATTTTATTTAAAGATTACAATTCGTAATCGTTAAGGTGTTAAAACTTAATCATATTCGTTAACTCACATTTAAATACTTCATGTTTATATCCCCTCTGATTTTGGTTACTTGCTGAATAAGTGGACCATTATTAAATCTTCATCCTCTCATAGCTATTAGTTAATTGACCAAAGACAGTTTAATTTGGCTCACCATCACTTTCCACATGTCTATGTTTTCTGTACCCTACATATGAGCGTAAGTTGACCAACATAAAACTGTTACACACCTGACATTCCTAAGTAGGATAACGTAAGGACATTTATACATATGTGGTCTATTCCGTATGTCTCACCGTTCGCCCTTGTCCTCATGTAACAATTTCTATATCATGAGTTCGACTCATCCTCATCCATATTTGATGTTTACTAGGAAGGCTTGGAGATTTAGTGAGATAACTATTCCGCTACACACATGTGACATTCCTCTAAATAGAGTATCAGTGACGCTTGCTTCTAACTGATAATCTCTTAAAGACATTCATATATGACGAGTGTTTTCAGTGGAATGCCAAGTATCTGATTAAATAACCTAAATGCCTTACTCGCTTGTCACCTTGATTGTATTTGTGGAATTAGACAATAGCCGGTGACTGCCTACTGTACTGTTTGATGTTGGTAGTCCACGGTGTAAAGCGCTTCAAATGGCTCAGAGGTGTTATTTCAAAATTTTCAGATAAACCTGTACATAATCATGCAACCTATTCAGTTTTGTTATTAAGATACTCATCATCTCGCCTAACTAAACATATTAATTGAAAGTGAAATTCACTTATATTTCTCATCCTCTTCTAAACTTATGTATTTTTGACCTCACATGATTTACTGCTGTGAATTGTTTCAGGTTATGATTAACCTCAGAATTGAGTTAGTAATTATTCGCTTTTGGATGGATTTAGTAAAGCGAAAACCTAATTAAAGGGTGTATATTACCGTTAATACGTTGGTCTGTATTTCACAAGTGTTGCCACTTAGACTACAATGCCTGATCGTAACATAGGAGGAAGTACTTATCACTTATCTTTGTCCCAACACTACATTGCTTTTCAATTTATTGACTTGTCTCTTCAGGAAACAAAAGGTGGCAAGTCATTTTATAAAGTTGGCTTTGTCAGTATTAATTTGGCATGTTTTGCTGCTGTCGGTAATGTGATTAACCGTCGACGGTATATCCTAGAAGGTTATGACGAAAAACGTAAACGCCAGGATAATTCCCTCTTGTCAATTTCATTCTGTTTGCGGCAATTAACAGGAGACAATTGTTTTCGGACGTAAGTGCCTTTTTTATATTCAATGGCATAGATATTAGAATTTTTAAGAGTTCTGTTGTATGCTGAAATGTAAATCAAAGTAGTTTTACCAGTTTTATTAATAACATTTGTGTTTATTTTCCACTTGAACGCTTAATTTAATTGATCCCTGAAGAGATATCTTAGGTATATGCACTAGTTTCTAAGGTGTTTAGAGTTGCAAAAGTCCTATGAGTTTCGGTCTATAGCCATTGTTTTTGAGCACAATACATTTTTTGTCTTTTACTGCATTTTTTGTTTATTCCTTTACGTTTCCAGTGGAACATAGGGCTTCAAGCTAGAGCTTTAAAGTTTCGGTAACAGTAGTATTTATTTTTACGGGATAAGGTTGCTAGCCTCATGCCTAACCTTCCCTCTTTACCAGTCATACTTTTGGCTTAGCGAGGTAAAGGAGTGTGTTGTTACTCCTTTACTGTATTAAGAACTATTTATCATCTGTTCTTAATTTGTTCTAAGTTGTTTGTTACTTGTATATTATACATACTCTTACAAAATATTTTTTGTATCTTATCTATACAAACTAACTGGGACTCTTCATATCTATTGCACACAGTGGTGGACTAAACAGACATCGGTGGTAGGTGGTACTCATCTGTTACTAAGGTTCAGTAAAAGATGTGACTAGGAAGTTACCCTTATGTGAACTACTTTTACGTTTAATGATAAATAATGTTTAAAATACTTGTTATGATTCTTTGAAAGCGTTTTATTTTATCTATAGTTGCGCTTTTGATGCCCATTTATTACCTTTGTTGGAATAAGTCTGAGATCAATCGTAGTAAAACAGGACACATCCATAAGGTCAATAAATGCTCCCCTGAATCTGGGAGATGGAATTCTTAATATATAAAGAATTAGAAATTGATGACATATTTCAGAAGCAGTCATACAGACTTATTTGCCCATGATTGTTTTAAAAGTTGAAGTACTTTACTAAACACCGCTTATTTACTATCTGCCGTTATATGGGCTCACTGGCTACACTCTTACTTCTCTAATAGGATGCAGTACACGGTATATAATGGTGTATCTTCCTCTCTTTTGCTTACTGAAGCTGGAGTTCCTCAGGGTGCTGTTCTTTCTCCGTTTCTCTTTTCCTTCTTCTTACATGATTTACCTCTCTCAGATGAAATCAACTTCGTCAACACTCAACTAAATGGTCTCATCTAATCCCTCAAAATGCCAGACTATTGACTTCTCCCTTAGGCATAAACGAGATCTACAAACACTAGTAAGTACTCATGAAGCCTGTTGCATTGAGGGGACTAAAATTGAAACTAAGTCTAATGCAAAATACCTCGGTCTAGTTCTATCTTCCGACCTTACTTGGACATCTCATATCCTAACGATTTCTAAGAAAGTGTTCTGTCTAACCTACTACATTAAGAAACTTAGATAATCTGGAATCACCCAACCACTACTTTCACAATTTGTCAACTCTTGTATCTTACCTATTCTACTTTACTGCTCCCCGTTAGTCTTTCCTGGGCTACTGAAAAAGGACTGTACCATCCTGAGAAGGATGTTGAAGGTAGTTAGTAGGACTAGTGGTGTAAAACTCAGTCAGCTCGTCACTACATTAGTTGAAAGGCATCTGAATACATGCGAAAAATGGTCTTAAACCATACTCTCCGACCCCCACACCCTCTTCTTTAAGTACAGGAACTCAATACATACTTGCCTCTAGCGACAGAGACAATGTTAAGCGTGAAACCTATGACTTCTTTGTTATTAACAACATAATTTTAGGCTCTTTTATTTCTCTCTTATTTTGTATTCTTTAGTGACTCCTTCTAACATATTACTTTTTACTCTTATTCCTTCTATTGTGTATCCACTGGTTCCAACTCTATTAGCACTATGAGTATTACAAAATTGTCCTGTCATTAACCATCATGTAATTATTAGTTTTGTGGTTGTTTTTTCTTATTTTCTATACTTTTCGGCAATATTAAACTGACAATCATTGTTTGGAACGCCATAGTCACCACTTTTTATCATTTTTTGTTTGTTTAATACTTATTTTAAATGTCGGTAAAATTAGATGCAAATATTGTAGATATGTGCTGAAAATTCCACACTGTACCACTAGTACTGTTTCTGGAATAAAGCAAATTATTATTATTATTATTTCAGTAGCTCCTCTTAATTTAACTGTTTTAAAGTGTGTTAGCTGAAATCGTTGAGTATTTCTGCAACATTTCATATCGGTATTTCTTTTCAATGTAAGTATGGTATACGAAGGTTGAAAGAAAATTTCAATTTACTGAAGGGGAGATGTTGATTCGATTTTATTAGAGTTGTATTCAGTTTTAAAAAAAGACTTTTAAAAGGCTTTTAAATCATGCGTCCAGTTCATCGGAAAACGAAAAACAAGTAATTCAGCAAAAAAACTTTCAGTAATTTCATTTACGGCGACTGTCACATATTCACTCCCACCAACGTGTAAACGCGTAAGATAGTATTTTCGCATGCAGGAACACTCTGTATCGAGCTACACAGGAGTACATGAACTGGCAGAGTTGTCACTTTTCATGTTTTCTTGAGCATGAGTTTTGTCGTAATTAGTACAAAAATATTACTCTCATTGGTTATGAAGAGATAAGGACGCACGTAACTGAACATCTTGTTACTACTAGATATTCTATCTCAACATCCTCTTCGTTTAAAGTTATCTACAAGGCCTCATCCTGTATGCCTAAAGCATCAGCCATCACAACAAAGAAGTTGAAACTTTGTATACGAAAAAAAACTTATTCGGCCTCGTGATGGTAAAAATTATAAAAATATCCGATACGACTCTTACCTAATACCACATATTTCCTGTTTCCACGCTCATTTTGATAATCATTCATTTACTACGTATTTTATCTCATTACTTGTCCCCTTACATATAATTATTCACCTTTACTATATCTGCATTGCATTTTAATTAACACACTCTAATCTTAGCAACTTTGTACTTAGTCTGCTTGTTGTAGTGCACTTTAAATGCAAAATTATTGAACATATTGCCGAAACTAGTTGTTAGTAAGTGCGATTGTATAACTAAATAAAATCGCAGAAATTTGTTTCATCTCTTAGTCGCATGCTTTTTTTCATGTAAATAAATCATTTAATTATTCAAGATACACTTGAGTGTTTTCTGTTATTTCCATGTTATCAAACTAAAAGGCTTTAGATGTCATTACCACTGGTCGTCTTTAGGTGTTCTTTCAGATAGTTTGTCTCATGTATCTTTTTTGGATTTTACTTAACGGTAGCTCAATGACGAGTTTATATACTAGATCACAAGCAGTCTTGTTTGAAAGTGCTCACAATACTATCTGGTATCCTAGTCTGGTTTAAGTAGTTTGGGCTTTATTTTTGCTCAGAACCAACTGACTGAATGTTAAAACTCATGCCTGCGAGTTACTTATCTTTTCTACTTACTTACTTTTTACATAAGTAACTTATCTTCTTACTTTCTGTTTTGCGGAGTTTTAGGTTGATGAGTAGATAACTTTAAAAAAAAGGTTTGACATAATTTAAAAATATCTTTTGGATTTATTGTTTTCTTTATGTCTCCTCATAAATGCCATATAAACTGACAGTGATTTTTATCATGTGACAAAAGTATGCAATTCCATAAACTATGTCTTAATTAATATCCTAAATAATTTTTGTAAATGCAAAACCTATTGGTATTACATTCTGAATAATTGTTTCCTTGCACATAACGCATTAAGACATTGATCTTTAAGCACTTTTAAAGTTTATTCCCTTTGAAATACTGTGTGGTACAGGTATGGTAAAAGCTTTTATTTAACTTAATAGATGCGTAAGTTTAGCAAGCGAGTTGAGTGATTGCTAGTGAATGTTATTCTAAACAATGTAGGTTACTGTGTTCATGGGCATCTTGGCCTTTGTTTTATTCATATGGCTGCAGGAATTGAAGTAAGAGAATTAACTCCTACTCCCTTAAATTTTTAAACGATTTACCGTAATTTTATAAATTGCTACTCTGCTTTATCTTTCCTGTGTACCTATTTATTCATATCTAAGCTCTTTATTCAGTTGTTTGAAATGAATTATTCACATTTTAACTTTGTCTACGGTTAATTTGCAAATTTAAGGCATGTTTATAGATGGTTTTTTATTCCTTCACGTTCCCAGTGGAACATAGGGCTCCAAGCTAGAGGCTTGAAGTTTCGGTAGCAGCGTTTATTTTTACAGGATGGGGTTGATAGCCTCATGCCCAACCTTTCCTCTTCACCAGCTTTTAGTTCTGACTTAGCGAGGTAAAGGAGTGCGCCTCATCTCATTTCATTATACTCTAAGTTTTTATTATCCGATTGTCTACGAAGTATTTCTGAAGAAAGTAGCACAGTTATTGTTGGTGAATGTAGCTTATAAATTGCATTGAAAGATCACGGAATTGGTGAAATTCAGGTAATTAGATGACCACTCATTAGGCATTAACTGGAGTCATTTGACAATGGCTTGCTGACTGAATGACTGAAGCCAAATATTGATGTATGAACTGTTAGTTATTTAGTGCTGCTGTTTGAAAATGTTGACCATTACTGGTTTAGCATCATTCTGTCCATATTTCTTTGATTGGATATTTTAGTGTTATCTATCCACTTTGACAAAAGAATGACTGTGGCACGCACTGCATACATTATACAAACAAGTAGTATGATGCATTCGATTAACTATAGGCAGAACTCAGTTGCACAGAAGAAATTATCCATATGTCAGGATATAAGTCATGCATGTTGTGTAAGGACTAATGGTACTATCCAGTGTCTGTGGTTAAAGTAGGCAGCATGGGACTCCAACTGAAGACATGTTGGCTGAATATTGAGTGTTTAGGTTAATCAGCCACATTTATTATTGTACATTGTATGTTTATAAAACCCTAGTTGTTTTGACTATATTTTCAAATTTAGTTTAAGATAATGTTAAGGTGAAAGGAA